CAACAACACAGTTATAACAACACAACACAAGTATACAACAACAACACAAGTTATAACACACCACCACAGTTATAACAACAACAACACAAGTTTAACAACACACAACACAAGTTATAACAACAACAACACAAGTTATAACAACAACAACACAAGTTATAACAACAACACAACACAAGTTATAACAACAACAACACAATTATAACAACAACAACACAAGTTATAACAACAACAACACAAGTTATAACAACAACAACACAAGTTATAACAACAACAACACAAGTTATAACAACAACAACACAAGTTATAACAACAACACAAGTTATAAAACAACAAACACAAGTTATAACAATAAAAACAAAGTTTACAACAACACCAAGTTATAAACACAACACAAGTATAACAACAACAACACAAGTTATAACAACAACAACACAAGTTATAACAACAACAACACAAGTTATAACAACAAAACACAAGTTATACAACAACAACAAGTTATACACAACAACACAAGTTATAACAACAACAACACAAGTTATAACAACAACAACAGTTATATCAACAACAACACAAGTTATACAACAACAACACAAGTTATAACAACAACAACACAGTTATAAACAAACAACAACACAAGTTATAACAACAACAACACAAGTTTATAACAACAACAACACAAGTTATAACAACAACAACACAAGTTATAACAACAACAACACAGTTATAACAACAACAACACAAGTTTAACAAAAAATTATAACAACAACAACACAAGTTATAACAACACAAAACACAAGTTATAAAACAACAAACACAAGTATAACAACAACAACACAAGTTATAACAACAACAACACAAGTTTATAACAACAACAACACAAGTTATAACAACAACAACCAGTTATAGCACAACAACACAAGTTATAACAACAACAACACAAGTTATAACAACAACAACACAAGTTATAACACAACAACAAAGTTATAACACAACAACACAAGTTTATAGCAACAACAACACAAGTTATACAACAACACAAGTTATAACAACAACAACACAAGTTATAACAACAAAAACACAAGTTATAACACAACAACACAAGTTATAACAACACAACACAAGTTATAACAACAAACAACACAAGTTATAACAACACACAACACAAGTTATAACAACAACAACAACAAGTTATACAACAACAAGTTATAACACAACACAAGTTAAACAACAACAACACAAGTTATTAACAACAACAACACAAGTTATAACAACAACAACACAAGTATAACAACAACAACACAATTTATACAACAACAACACAAGTTATAACAACAACAACACAAGTTATAACAACACAACACACAAGTTATACAACAACTAACACAAGTTATAACAAACAACAACACAAGTTATAACAAACAACAACAACACAAGTTATAACAACAACAACACAAGTTCATAACAACAACAACACAAGTTATACACAACAACAACACAAGTTATACAACAACAACAACACAAGTTATAACAACAACAACAACACAAGTTAACAACAACAACAAGTTTATAACAACTAAACAACACAAGTTATAACAACAACAACACAAGTTATAACAACAACAACACAAGTTATACAACAAAACACAAGTTATAACAACAACACAAGTTATAACAACAACAACACAAGTTATACAACAACAACAACAACACAAGTTATAACAACAACAACACAAGTTATAACAACAACAACACAAGTTATAACAACAACAACACAAGTTATAACAACAACAACACAAAGTTATAACAACAACACAAAGTTATAACAACAACAACATAGTTATACAACAACACAACACAAGTTATAACAACAACAACACAAGTTTAAAACAACAACAACACAGTTATAACAACAAACAACACAAGTTATAACAACAACAACACAAGTTATAACAACAAACACAAGTTATAACAACAACAACACAAGTTATAACAACAACAACACAAGTTTATTAAGCAACAACAACACAAGTATAAAACAACAACACAAGTTATAACAACAACAACACAATGTTATAAACAAAACAACACAAGTTATAACACAACAACACAAGTTATAACAACAACAACACAAGTTATAACAACAACAACACAAGTTATAACAACAACAACACAAGTTATAACAACAACAACACAAGTTTAACAACAAAACACAAGTTATAACAACAACAACACAAGTTATAACAACAACAACAAACAAGTTATAACAAACAACAACACAAGTTTAACAACAACAAACACAAGTTATAACAACAACAACACAAGTTATAAACAACAACACACAAGTATAACAACAACACAAGTTTATAACAACAACAACACAAGTTATAAGCAACAACAACACAAGTTATAACACACAACACAAGTTATAACAACAACAACACAAGTTATAACAACAACAACACAAGTTTTATAACAACAAAACACAAATTTATAACAAACAACAACACAAGTTATAACAACAACAACACAAGTCTAACAACAAGCAACACAAGTATAAAACAACACAACACAAGTTTATACAACAACAACACAAGTTATAACAAACAACACAAGTTATAACAACAACACACAAGTTATACAACAACAACACAAGTTATAACAACAACAACACAAGTTATAACAACAACAACACAAGTTATAACAACAAAACACAAGTTATAAACAACAACACAAGTTAAAACAACAAACAACACAAGTATAAACAACAACAACACAAGTTATAACAACAACAACACAAGTTAAACAACAACAACACACAGGTTATAAACAACAACAACACAAGTATAACAACAACAACACAAGTTAATAACAAAACAACACAAGTTATAACAACAACAACACAAGTTATAGCAACACAACACAAGTTACCCTCCTCCAGCAACACATCAAACAACACAAGTTATAACAACAAACAACACAAGTTTTAACAACAAACACACAAGTTAAACAACCAACAACACAAGTATACACAAAACACAAGTTATCTAATCAAACACAACAACACAGTTTACAACACAACCAAGTTATAACAACACACAAGTTAACAACAACAATACAAGTTTACAACAATCAACACAGTTATCACAACAACACTAGTTACAAGAGTTCAACAACACGTTATAACCAACATAGTTACAGCAACACCAACACTAGTTACAGCAACACCAACACTAAGTTACAGCAACACAAATCACAGTTACAGCAAACACAACACTAGTTACAGACAACACAACAAGTTACACAATCAACACAGTTACAGCATCACACAGTTACAACACATAGTTACAGAACACAACACTAGTTACAGCACACAACACTAGTTCAAGCAACATCATCACTAGTTTACAGCAACACAACACTAGTTACAGCAACATCAACACTAGTTACAGCAACATCCAACACTAGTTACAGCAACACCAACACTAGTTACAGCAACATCAACACTAGTTACAGCAACACAAACTAGTTACAGCAACACCACACTAGTTACAGCAACATCAACACTAGTTACAGCAACACACACTAGTTACAGCAAACCAACTTGCACAACACTAGTTACAGCAACACCAACACTAGTTACAGCAACACCAACACTAGTTACAGCAACACCAACACTAGTTACAGCAACATCAACACTAGTTACAGCAACACCAACACTAGTTACAGCAACACCAACACTAGTTACAGCAACATCAACACTAGTTACAGCAACATCAACACTAGTTACAGCAACACCAACACTAGTTACAGCAACATCAACACTAGTTACAGCAACACCAACACTAGTTACAGCAACACCAACACTAGTTACAGCAACACCAACACTAGTTACAGCAACACCAACACTAGTTACAGCAACATCAACACTAGTTACAGCAACACCAACACTAGTTACAGCAACACTAGTTACAGCAACCAACTACTAGTTACAGCACACCAATACTAGTTACAGCAGCACCAACACTAGTTACAGCAGCACCAACACTAGTTACAGCAACACTAGTTACAGCAACACCAACACTAGTTACAGCAACACCAACACTAGTTACAGCAACACCAACACTAGTTACAGCAACACCAACACTAGTTACAGCAACACCAACACTAGTATAGCAGCACAACACTAGTTACATCAGCACCAATACTAGTTACAGCAAGACACGACAACACTAGTTACAGCAGCACCAAACATAGTTACAGCAAACACACTAGTTACAGCACACCAACACTAGTTACAGCAAACCACTAGTTACAGCGCATAACACTAGTTACAGCAGCACCAACACTAGTTACACCAACACTAGTTACAGCAACACCAACACTAGTTACACCAACACTACTTACAGCAGCACCAACACTAGTTACAGCAGCACCAACACTAGTTACAGCAACACTGGTTACAGCAGCACCAGCACTAGTTACACCAACACTAGTTACAGCAGCCCAACAACGTTACAGCAGCACCAACACTAGTTACAGCAATACCAAACACTAGTTAGCAGTCACCAACACTGCCTTCGACAGCACCAGCACTAGTTACAGCACACCAACCCTATTACAGCATCATGTTAGCAGCTACAGCAAAAATCTATCGAGCACTATTAGAGCCACTAGGGTTAGAAACCACTATGTGAAGAACACGCTTAGGGCAGTAAGCCCCGACTTTGGGGGGGGTTAGTCTAAGAGTTCGTGTTGAATATTTCTTAGATATTCTTGGTTCAGTATTCCAGGATGGCCTCCTGATTGATTAGGGTAACACTAAGGTTCCTCAGTGTGATATTCTTAAGAACCTGGTCCTTCCAGGAGAACTGCCATCTTGATACTCCAGCAACCCATAGCACAAGTACCAGATGAAGAATTCAGCAATCTCCAATGCCGGGTAGAATTCACCATGTGTGAATCACCAAGCAGCTGGTGCAGTGAGAAGTTAAGGTACTTACCTTGTGCTGCGTCAGTGCCTGTGGGTGATGGCAGTGTCCGTGGTCGACAGTCAGCGAACTGGCACGGATTTTTAGATATCAAAGTCCGCATGGATCATCGTTAGATGGATAAGAAAGAGTCTGTGAAGCACTTTAGAGCCACTGGGAATAGGAGAGGCCACTGAAGAAGCAACTAGTGGCAGTTTAGTGGTGGTGGTGGTGTGGTAGTCTTGGCTAGCGGGTGTTAGAATTAGTCCATCTCCAGGCACTGTGCCCCGTACGCCTCCTGGCCCGACTTACCCACTACAAGTGCCAACACACACTAGGCACGCTCAGGGGGCCAGAGCCTAGACCCCACTCTGGCATCCTTTGGCACCAGGAGAAGCTGGCCAATCACGCCTCGAGCTGCCGCCGCCCGTCCAATGAGATTCCGGCATCTCTCAATGGCCGGGATGAACCTCTACCATGTGTGACAGTTGGAGCCATGCTTACTAATAGAGGCGCTACCAAAGGTTAATGACACGTTTAGGCCGTTCCACTAGCTGGGGAAGGCCTAGGTAGGCCTAGAGATATGGAGGAGGAGCTGTAGTTCCTCTGGTGAGGTAGGAGGCTGTCAGCGGATGAGAGGAGGTTGAACCGTGTGGCCGGTAAGTGAGACTTCCCTTACACTCTCAACCATCTATGACCAGCGTCCCTCCACTACTTCCCGCCTCCACATTCCTTCCTCCATACTATGGAACTCCATACTATGCAACTCCACCTCTAGAAGCGATCCACTCTCACCATCGGTCAAGGTTTCCTCCACCAGTAAACCACGTCCCTCTCCATCACTAGACTAGGTCCTTTCCACCAACTGACCAGGTCCCCCTCCACCCCTAGACCAGATCCCCCTACACTCCTAGACCAGGTCCCCCTCCACTCCTAGACTAGGTCCCCCTCCACTCCTAGACCAGGTCCCCTTCCACCCCTAGACCAGATCCCCCTCCACTCCTAGACCAGGTCTCCCTCCACTCCTAGACTAGGTCCCCCTCCACTCCTAGACCAGGTCCCCTTCAACTCCCAGACCAGGTGCCCCTCCTCTCCTATGCCAGTTCCCCCTCCACTCCTAGACTAGGTCCCCCTCCACTCCTAGACTAGGTCCCCCTCCACTCTTAGACCAGGTCCCCTTCCACTCCCAGACCAGGTGCCCCTCCTCTCCTACACCAGGTCCCCCTCCACTCCTAGACTAGGTCCCACTCCACTCCTAGACTAGGTCCCCTCCACTCCTAGACCAGGTCCCCTTCCACGTGTACTTAGCTCTGTGAAGACCTGTTTGCTCGCTCTCTACGAATTGAAGCAAAGATGCCCTCCATCGAGCAACTTTACCAACAGCTTAAGGAAGAATTGAGGATGGCGAAGTTGGAGATTCGGCGACTGACCGAGGAAAACAAGAAGATTCGTAGTAGTCCTCCTGTTTTGAGTCCCCAGGTCAAGAAGGGAAACTGGTCAGTGGCTGGACAGCAGGGAACGAAGTTGACGATCAAGAAGACGAATGGAAAGATAGAAACGATGAAGAAGAGACTGCCGTGGAAACTGTTGTGGAAACATCTAATACATTCTCAGTGCTACCCGACGAATGTGAGTCGACTACTGGGAACATCACGACGAACGACACCAAGGAAGGTAAGAATATTGTTGTAGTTGGGGATAGCCAAGTTAGGTATATGGATAGGGCGTTCTGCTTGAAGGACAGGAGTAGGAGACAGAGAGTTTGCTTTCCTGGGGCTGGGATGGAGGATATTGTTAGCCATCTGGATGACATCATGAGAGGTAATGGGAGCAATCCTATTATCTGTCTCAGTGCTGGAGGCAACGATGTTGGCAGACGTAGGAGTGAAGATCTGATTAGCAGGTATAGGTCAGCAATAGAAATAATTAGGAGTAAGGGTGGGAACCCTGTCATATGAGGTATTTTGCCAAGGAGAGGAGTTGGAAATGAATGGTTGTCCAGGGCAATTGGTGTCAATTGCTGGCTGGACAAATACTGTAAGGAAAATGCGGTAACATTCATTGACAACTGGGACCTCTTCTATGGCAGAAATGACATGTATGCCAGGGATGGGGTTCACTTATCTAGGTCTGGGGTGGTAGCACTGGCAACTGCAGTGGAGGGAGCAGTTAGGACTTTAAACTAGGAATAGTTAGTCGTATGGGTTTTGGCAGGAAAACAGTGAAGTCCCAGTGTAGTAATATTACGAGTTCTAGGGGAACTAGTAATAAGCAGAACGAGGTAGATATTGAAAAGCCAGGGACTTTGGGTGATAAGGACAGTAATAGGTTTAGCAGAAAAACAGAAATGAGCAGGAAGGGTAAAGAGAAAGGAGAGTCTTTCAATGTTTATTATGCTAATTGCCGTATGTTACAAAAAACGCGATTCTAAAAGCTTAGAGATCTCCAGTGAATACTAGAAAGGACTGCCCTTCTAGCATCCAGCCTGTTACTGGGTTTTCGTAACAAGTAGTCAGTATCCTTTTCCAATTATCCATTAAAATTCAGTATGGTTCAATAGTGCTTTAGGATTACAACTGGTAGGCTACTAACTAGAGAAATTAAAATTTAATAAATTTATTAAGTATATAAGTTGTCTAGAGGTATATTATCAAATTAAATTAATTACAGCAATCAAAATAAAATCAATCTCTCGAGTTCAATATTATTGTGCTGAAAGCACATATCACATTTATAATTCTTAAGTACCGTCAGGTACATTAATATTTAATAAAATATTACAAATATGTACAAGTGTGTGTATGCGTGTAAGTGCTCTTAAGTAGTTAGCTATGTCTCAAGACTCGAATAAGACTTAAACAAGTGACTGACAAAGTCCTCAAATAAACTAACTTCTTGACCGACTGGCAACCCGAACAGTCTGCTTGAACAACAAAGAATGCTAAGCCCAATAGCAATGCAATATCAAGCGACAGCGACACAGAATCAGGAACTAGGAAATAATATAACGACACTAAGTAGGGACCATCTGTAGATCCTCCACAAAAGTTACAAAACTCCCATAATACTGAATCTTCGTTCAGCATAGGAAAACTCGACTGTGACAATGCACAGAAACCAGTACAAAATTAGGTCAGAAGCTATAGCTCGGGACCTGAGATGTTCAGAGTGTCTAAGCGACACACAACCTCAGTACAACGTCGAAAATCACAAAGTCTTTACAATGTTCTGTGAACAAAGTTCTACAGAACTAACAAGAATAATGAGACAGACAATCTGTCCAACAAGCAAGCGAGTCTCCAGCAGACTGAATACTTCACAAGAGGTGAGGACACCCCCCCCCTCGATCACGTGATAGCTACGTGGACAACTGCAGCTCAGAAGCCGGCAGTATAACGAGCGACAAGCGATAATTACAGTAGTTTGACAATCAAGACTAAACTGAGCACATTTTATAAACATCCTAACAACATAAGCTAAATAACAATATAACAGTCAAATAATAATATAAAGTCATACATTTACGATTTAGCTATTATCGCAAATATAAGCAATATAAAATTATATGAAAAGGTAATATACATTATATATACATAATAATCATTGTAACCCATTCAGGGGTTGCAACACCGTAGTGCTAGGAATAAGATGGACGAGTTGAGATTAGTTGCTAGTGCAGGTAACATTGATGTATTTGCCTTAGCTGAGACGTGGTTTAATTCAAAAAGTCGGGACATGCCTGCGGAATGTCATATTCAGGGTTTTAAATTGTTCCAAGCAGATAGAAGTATCGGGAAGGGGGGTGGGGTGGCATTGTATGTCCGAGATCGCTTGAACTGTTGCATAAAAACGGGTATTAAGTCTGAAGTAACACATACAGAGTCTGTTTGGATAGAATTTTCGGAGGGGCATGAAAAACTGATTTTAGGAGTGATATACCGTCCCCCAAACTTAGATAGGGACCAAGGGAGACTACTATGAGAGGAAATTGTTAAGGCCACAAGGCACGATTATGTAGTAATTCTAGGAGACTTTAACTTTAGTCATATTGATTGGAATTTCTTGACTGGGAATTTAGAATCATAACTAACTTCTTAGAAGTAGTTCAGGATTGTTTTTTGAAGCAGTTTGTGACAGAACCTACAAGGGGAATAACCTGCTTGACTTAGTTATGGCAAACAATGAATCCCTTGTTAATAATTTAGAAATTTCAGAGGAACTGGGTGCTAGCGACCACAAATCAATTACATTTAGCATTGAATGGAAGTACGATAGTAGCGATAACTCAATAACAGTCCCAGATTTTCGCTTAGCAGATTACGATGGGCTTAGAGAACACTTATCATCTGTTGACTGGGGTAACGAAGTGAGATATCATTATGACAGTTTTCTGAACACTATACAAGCTGCTCAAAGAACATTTATCCCATATAAAGAAATTAGATCAAATAGAAATGACCCAAAATGGATGAATAATAGGCTCAAATATCTACTAGGGCATAAGAAAGGAATTTATAGGCGTATCAAAAGAGGTGAGGGTCATCTTAATGAATCAGTATATTGACATTAAGAGGGACATTAAAAAGGGGATAAGAAAAGCTAAAAGGGACTATGAAATTAAAGTTGCTAGGGATTCTAAAACTAACCCAAAAAGTTTTTTCCAGGTATATAGAACAAAAGTTAGAGATAAGATAGGTCCCCTTAAAAATAACTATGGGCACCTTACTGACAAAGAGAATGAAATGTGCTCGATTTTTAATAATTATTTTCTCTCAGTTTTTACACAGGAAGACACTAACAATATTCCAGTAATTAATTTTTATAGTGGGCTAGAAGAAGATAAATTATGTAACATCACAGTCACTAGTGAAATGGTTGTGAAGCAGATAGACAGACTGAAGCAAAATAAGTCGCCGGGTCCTGATGAGGTTTTTTCAAGGGTTTTTTAAGGAATGCAAAATGGGAAATCTGTGAACCATTAACTAATATTTTTAATTTATCTCTTCAAACAGGTGTAGTGTCTGATATGTGGAAGATGGCTAATGTAATTCCTATTTTTAAAACAGGGGACAAGTCGTTACCGTCAAATTACCGCCCAATAAGCCTGACCTCAATTGTAGGCAAATTACTAGAGTCAATTATAGCTGAGATTATAAGAAGCCATCTCGATAAGCATAGCTTGATTAATGATACTCAGCATGGATTCACAAGAGGCCGGTCTTGTCTAACTAATTTATTAACTTTCTTCAGTAAAGCTTTTGAGGCTGTTGACCACGATAAAGAATTTGATATTATTTTTCTTAGATTTTAGTAAGGCTTTTGATAGAGTTCCGCACCATAGGGCTGTTAAAGA